TTCTTGATGAGTTCGATCATTATGAAAAATTACATTTTTTAAATAATCCAATTCTTTAACTATTTTTTCTGCTACTATAATTAGAATGAATTTCGCATATATGTTACGAGAAAAATACAGTTTCGTACGATGAACACCAGCTTATAGTCTGATGGAGGTTTAGTAATTCAAGTATTGATAAAACAGTACATAATAGTATTGTTACAGATTCTCATCTATAGTAAAAGCTTTAGACTTAAGACACCGTATATATTTAATATGTAAGTACGAGCAAAAGTCTTCAGAAGTTGCAAATTTTCCATAATATGTTTTTGTTTGTAAACCAGTCCATATATCACATTGTTCATTATTATTTTTAATTATAGCTCGTGTTTCAATCATTGACAATTTTGTTAAATAAATATTATAAGTAAGAAAATGAGTTCGATTACATAATTCGCGTTCAAGTTTTCGCAACATTTGAGCAAACCATTCATAACATAATGTAGTATTACATATCCAATAAAAATAAACATGACGAAGTCGTTTATGATCTGTTTGTAATGAACGAATATGTTTTAATATTGAAGTATAAGGTGTTACTATAATAAAAATCAGCAAAAAAAAAGTTAACTTTCTTGTTTGTTTTTTGTTTAAATCTTACCTCCAATACCAGCCAGAGATGGACGAGCTGCGGTGTAAAACCGCCCCGTCCCGTCCCGCCACGCCCCGCCGGTGTGGCGGTGCTAAAACTTGACGGGGCGGGGCGGTGACGGTGCATGACGAAATTTCGCGGTTTCCCCGCCTTTGTATAACCTTGATTTCTTAAATATACTCAGACCTTTAGAGACATCTTTTAAAACTTTAAAAATTTCTTCACACTAAACTAATCAGTAAAAAAAACGTGTTAGCGTAGCTCCAGAGGAGCTAAAACGTGGAACTCACATATATTTTTTTTATTTTTGTCCTGCTGCCTAATTTTTAAATTGTAAAATACCTGTTTTCCGAATACGTATGAAATCATTGATATATTATATAAAAACTAGAGCCTTTTATGCGCTGTTGCTGAGGTCTGTCATGGTGGTGGTCAGGGTTGCCAGACCGAAAAATAAAAAATCAGAAAAATTTTTCTAAAAATCGGGAAAATGTCGGAATTTTTGTTCTCGAAATCGGAAGAAAATCAGAAAGTATTTTTCCATGATTAAATAACTAGTCTGTATATTTTCGATCGCTTCAATATCCTTTATCTTGCTTCTGTTCATCTTTTCGAAGCAATATCGGAAATGATATTTCATAAAGAATTAAAGAAAATATCGATTACACAATTTACTCATGATTAAGAAATCTACATAAGTCATTTGAACAGGATCACATTATTTTTATCAAAAATGCTATAACCAACTTGACGAAACAATAGAATCAGTATTGTAAATTCATACACACATGCATTTGACAAAACTTGTGCAAAAGAAACTAAGACTTATTCTGTATAATGTTCGTTTTTGTTCATACTTTTTTATTAGCTCGAATACTCTTCAAAATATCAGGTTGAGGTAACAGATATTCATAAAAATGTCCACAAGTATAAACAGAATTCATTCCGATTTTCAATTCTGCAACAGCTAAATTAGTACCCATACGATTATGATTAGTTTTATTATATCTGTGATGAAACAAAAAAGCTCAAAAACGAAAATATTCTTAATTATCAGTATAGTAAACGAACAGAGAAAGTTAGTCCATCGTGATAGAAAACTGGATCTTAATTGTCTGTGAAACATCATAGTTTTATTGGAGGATATGCTTTCAAATCACTGCAGTGTGGTTTGTTGAGTTCATGACGTTTCATTACCCGATAATTATGATGAAATAGATCGCTATATATGTGTGGTATCGCGTCATGGTTAAATTATTCTGGAATGTCCTAAGAACTTGAATTCACAAACAAGACTTTGAAAACCGGAGGAAAATTACGAAATCTGAAGGCAATCGGAAAAATATGTTAAAATCAGAAAAAATCGGAACGTCGGAAAGCGGGTGTGGGTGGGTGTGGGTGTGGGTGTGGGTGGGTGTGGGATGTGGGTGTGTGGGCGTGGGTGTGGATGCGAATGAGTGTCCGTGAATAGCCCAAAATCACCCACACCCAAACCCACACCCACCCACACCCACACCCACATCCCACCACCACCCACACGCACATCCACACCCACACTCACACTCATACCCACACCCACACTCCCACACCCACATCCACATCCCACCACCACCCACACGCACATCCACACCCACACGCACATCCACACCCACACTCACACCCACACCCACACCCACACTCCCACACCCACACACCCATCCACGCCCACCCACACCTACACCCACCCTAAGTATTATCCATTTCAAAATAAAAGAGCCGTGGCCATTTTTTGAATAACTTTTCACAGGAAGAAGATAGAGAAGTGCGGTTTTCGCCATTAAAAAGAGAAGAATAAGGCACATCAATGCATGCTAAAATATGATTGGTTAACAATTGACCAATCAAGTGCATTCTCGATGGACATTTTGAGCACCCTTCTCTAGAGCCATTTCTCAACTTAACTGTATTCGTTAATTTAGTTTTTGGTAGGAAAAATTGTTCTCTTTCGATCTACGCAAAGCCGACCTTACTAGCTTGTTCCGTTCAAGAGTTATAAGGGTTTTCCTGAGACCCCTGATTTCAGCCAATTGACCTTGGATCAATCAGAAAACCATCTGGAACGGGGTTTTTCATCATGCTGAGTCGAATGGTGATATTTGTTTTTGGATTCGAAATCATCTTACGGTGTTATCTCAATATTTCCGAAATATGGGCTCATGTGAGACAGCGGTAGATATTGTGAAATGTAGAAAATTTCTAAAAAACAGTGTAAGATGGTTTGAAATCCAAAAACAAATATTACCATTCGACTCAGCATGATGAAAAACCCCGTTCCAGATGGTTTTCTGATTGATCCAAGGTCAATTGGCTGAAATCAGGGGTCTCAGGAAAACCCTTATAACTCTTGAACGGAACAAGCTAGGAAGGTCGGCTTTGCGTAGATCGAAAGAGAACAATTTTTCCTACCAAAAACTAAATTAACAAAATACAGTTAAGTTGAGAAATGGCTCTAGAGAAGGGTGCTCAAAATGTCC